AATCTTCACACGTAACATTAGCTTTCCAGATACCACATACCATTTTTTCAAAGTGCTTTGACAAAGTTAAAACACGTGAAGCTTGCAGTTCCCACTACATTGCTATGACCAAGAAGGGTAAATGAATAACATTACTAGTTGTTGTTAAGGAGACTCCTATAAATGTCAACCTCCATCTTCCACGGACAGGCAGACCTGCAAAAATGCTCAACCTTTCCTCATATCTGAAAGGGCACTCCCAATGAAGCCTCTCGAAATACTCAACTTTCTTTCCCCCCCCAATAATACCTATGTAAACCAGCCACACCAAAGCAAGAGTATTTCATATCATCAGGGTCAAAAGCAAGAGTACCCCATATCATGCTTTTTCCTTGTCTTTTCCTTTGCCCTTGTTCTTACCTGTAAGACAAAGAGAAAGAGAGCAATCAGTCAGCATTTGGAATCAAGCTTCCAATCAGGAATTGACTACCTGGAACCCCTTGCCTGATTACTTACCTGGCATTGCTCTCGAGTACTTATCTTCAACATCTTATGCTTCCAAAGAAGATACCACATATGTTTGAGGAACAGATAGGGCAAGTAAGAAGGATACAAGGAAGAATGTGGAGACAAGCGTAACAGAACACATGCCGATACATACTCTAGATTTTGTCAATAGCAAAAATATCTCATATCATCAGGGTCGAACGTACTCTAGATTTGATGGACTTGTTTTGACCCTCAAATTCTTGAATCGGCCTTATACTCTGGAGGAAACCAGAAAACCCTCCAGCCCAATTCAAGAATAAGCCTGTGAAAATTTACTTCTTCAAAAGCAAAAGTATCTCATATCATCTCTTCTCATTTTTCTTCTCTTTATCCTCCTTGCTGCCTGCAAGATAGGGGGAATGAGAACAGTCAGCCGGAACTCAAAATAAAACTTATGATCTGGGACTGATTGCTTGGAACTCTGATTGCTTACCTTGTCTGTCACTTTTTTTGGCAAATCTCCCAGCTCGGCGACTTGGAGGACTCCTACTACATGGTTTGTATCGCGCTTGACCAAGCCTGAAACTACAAGTAAGCTTCAAGTCAAATTGATACATTACCTTATGCATCTCCACCGATTAAAGATACCATCCTTGGATGTAGGAAAAGTACTTCCAAAGAAGATGTCACATCTACCTATGAGACAGATAAGGTAAGTGAAGACAAGACCACACTTCGGTATTTGGAAGTTTCGTGATTACTCAGCGGCTTGGATCTTGCAAGTCCCCAACCGAGGAGCTTCCCTCACTCAGGAACTTAGGGGAACATTGTTTGTACCATACTTGACCAATCCCGAAACTACAGAGTACCGGTCAACGTTATACCATCAAGGACCCAGAAGAGTTTCTCTCCAATCAGGAGGCCAATCACAACGCGACACATGTCAACATCGGAAGCCATTCACAACATGACACGTGTCAATGTCAGAACAAAGCTAGAAACTCTCTTCTATAAAAGGAGATCATTCTCCCACAATATTTCCTAATGTCATTTGTACTAAATTATTCACTAGTACTCATTAAAGAAGAGCTTGAACCTATGTACTTGTGTAAACCCTTCACAATTAATAAGAACTTCTCTACTCCGTGGACGTAGTCAATCTGGGTGAACCACGTACATTTTGTGTTTGCTTCCCTGTCTCTATCCATTTACATACTTATCCACACTAGTCATCGGAGCAATCTAGGACAGGTCACAAACTTGACACTTTTTGTTGTACCAAAGTCCTCACTGATTTTGTGCATCAACAGATTTGGGTCGTCAAATCTTTTTTTACTATTAAATTTAATCTTATTTGATCATAACCGTTAAATTATAAATAAAAAACAAAAAAAGTTTTGAAATATTATAATTTAGTGAATCCAGAATAATTTAAGCCGCTGAAATCCTATCTAATGGTTGAGATAGTTTGGGAAGTTTTGAAGTTTATATTTTAAATTTTATCTCATGAGTTGGAGATATTCGATATTCTTAGTATATAATATATCGTTACACTCAAAATAAAAGATTTAAAAAAAAAGAAGGGGCATTTTGATATAGATGCCTCAAATTTGAATTTTTTTAATCAAACATCTATAACTTTTAAACTTTTGATCAAACATTCTTCTACTGATTTTTAATTAAAAATTATGATTTTTATTGTATTTAATTAACCAACTAGTTCAGAAAATAATATCACAAATATTCTAAAATCACCACAAACTTCCTATCTTATCTTATCATAATTCGTTCAAAATGAATTTTTCTTATTCAAATAATTTGTTGTTTTAAATTCTAAAAACACATAAACATCCTATTAACATACAATTATGAAATATAACATGCACATATGTCACATCCCAGCCTGGGTCCACCATATCCGGGGCCCGTTTTACCACCGTAGCACGATATTGTCCGCTTTGGGCTTAGCATTCCCTCACGGTTTTGTTTTTGGGAACTCATGAGCAACTTTCCAGTGGGTCACCCATTTTGGGAGTGCTCTGGCCTCCTTCTCGCTTAACTTCGAAGTTCCTACGGAACCCGAAGTCAGTGAGCTCTCAAAAGGCCTTGTGCTAGGTAGGGATGGGAATATACATTTAAGGATCACTCCCCTGGACGATGTGGGATGTTACAATCCACCTCCTTAGGGGCCCGACGTCCTCATCGACACATTTCCGATCTGGGATTGGCTCTAATACGATTTGTCACATCCCGGCCCGGGGCAAATCACTTCCTGGGCATGTCTACCACCGTAGCACGATATTGTCCGCTTTGGGCTTACCATTCCCTCACGGTTTTATTTTTGGGAACTCACGAGCAACTTCCCAGTGGGTTACCCAACCTAGGAGTACTCTGACCTCCTTCTCGCTTAACTTCGGAGTTTCTACGGAACTTGAAGCCAGTGAGCTCCCAAAAGGCCTCGTGCTAGTGATCTCCCAAAAGACCTTGTGCTATGTAGGGATGTGAATATACATTTAAGGATCACTCCCCTAGGCAATGTGGGATGTTACAATCCACCCCTTTAGGGGCTCGACGTCCTCGTCGACACACTTCCGATCAAGGATTGGCTCTAATACCATTTGTCACATCACGGCCCGGGGCAGATCACTTCCCGGGCCTGTCCACCACCGTAGCACGATATTGTCCACTTTGGGCTTATCATTCCCTCACGATTTTGCTTTTGGGAACTCACGAGCAACTTCCCAGTGGGTTACCCATCCTGGAAGTGCTCTGACCTCCTTCTCGCTTAACTTCGGAGTTCCTACGGAACCTGAAGCCAGTGAGCTCCCAAAAGGCCTCGTGCTAGGTAGAGATGGGAATATACATTTAAGGATCACTCCCCTGGACGATATAGGATGTTACAATCCACCCCCCTTAGGGGCCCGACGTCCTCATCGACATACTTCCGACCAGGGATTGGCTCGAATACCATTTGTCACATCCTGGCTCGAGGCGGATCACTTTTCGAGCCTGCTCCACCACCGTAGCACGATATTGTCCGCTTTGGGCTTTCCATTCCCTCACGATTTTGTTTTTGGGAACTCACAAGCAACTTCCCAGTGGGTCACCCATCTTGGGAGTGCTCTGGCCTCCTTTTCACTTAACTTCGGAGTTCCTATAAAACTTGAAGCCAGTGAGCTCCCTAAAGGCCTCGTGCTAGGTAGAGATGAGAATATACATTTAAGGATCACTCCCCTGGACGATGTGGGATGTTACACATATATTAAATATAACGTACCAAACATATATATTAAATATAACGTACCAATCATTTGGTACGTTATTGGTACGTTATATAAATTTAATCTGGGTACATATTAGTATTTTGGTACGTTATAAATATTGCTTTTGGTACGTTATGCAATTCTTTATTTAGTACGTACCAAGTTATTCGTACGTTGTATTATCCTTATTTTGGTACGTACAAAACTTATGGTACGTTATGTGTAAGTTGTGTAACCCAAAAAAAAGATAACTTTTCACATTAAAACATTGCACTAAAAAATATTTTTTGTCAACTCTTAATAATTAATTATTGGAATAAGGACTCATTTTAAATAAAAATAAAAATATGAAAACTCTTAGTTCACGTTTCTACTATAAGTAGTTGTTAAAAAATTCAAATTTATTTTCAGTTGTATGAAATTAGGCAGCCTAGTCTACATCTCAATTTTAATTATAAACGAACTCTTGTTTTTTTATAATCTATATAAAATGTTGAGTTGGAAATTGGAAAAACTATATTTCATCCAATTAATCTTGAACCTCAGTAGATATAATTGAATCCTTAAATTGAAGAAGGGATGAGATTCCATAAATAGCAATAAATTAATGAATATTATTGAGTACATTTTTTTTACATAAAAATGGATTTAAAAGAATTTATAAAATACTTAAATTAAGAATATATCTGGAATATAAAATTTAATTAAAAGTAAAAGCACTTTAATCAAAAATTGAAAAGCAACAGATGTTTAATTTAAAAAAAATCTAAAATGAGGCATCTAATTCTAATTAAAGCCTAAAGCTGCAATTGCTAAACCATTTCGCCGCATCCATCTCGGCAATTGCAGACCTCTTCTCCAACTGCGGCCGTCTCCATTTTTGCAATTGCAGACTTCTCATCTACAACTCTCTCTCTCTCTTATCTCCCTACTCCATATTACTCGTATCAAATTTGTATTCTTCAAGCATTTACTCGAAATCCGGATCCAAAAGTTTTTTCAAAATTTGGGTTCCAATCTCTAAACTATTAGCAATTGATAATTAGACATTTTTTTATTAATTTAAAAAAAGAATTCAACTATTTATATATTGTAATAAAAAAGATAATTTCTTTAGCATCACTCCTAAATTAAATGAAAATATCAAATAAAGTTATGCATATGGAGGAGTATATGCTGTTTCCTTTTAGCGATGCACAAACTCATTCTACTCCTTTAGATTAACAAATTTATTGAATCAAACTTGGACAATTTTCTTGGCATTTATGTATTTATGTGTTTTTTTTAATTTTTTTAATTTTATCATTTTGTAAGATAAATGATAGTTTGATTCGAAAAGCTCAAACTTAATTACAAGAGGAGTCTTAGAAGATGACATCCTGAATAACTTCAAGATGATCCTCAAACCAAACTTACGATAAAACTTAGCTAAACGGTAAGCAACACCATTACAAATCCAAGACGCACAATGAAATTGAGGGTTATCGGCCAAACTTGAAGCAAGGCACTGAATGTCCTTGCTTTCTAAGTTAAAGCTCTTGCTTGGGCTCGCTACTCTTGAGCTTGGCAGGTTCACCCTGATCTCCTCCTCCTCCTCCTCCAGTGGTAGAGATGCTAATCACCCTAGTAGCTGCCTTGATCTTATCAGGGGACAACTTGGCCAGCGTCACCGTGAGAACCCCATTTTCCAACTTGGCGTTGATGGAGTCTAAATCCACGTTCTCAGGCAACTTAAACCGCCTCCAAAATTTTCCGTAAGACCTCTCAACTCGGTGCCAGTGATCCCCTTTCTTGTCTTCTTCCCTCTTCCTCTCTCCACTCACTCTCAGAACCCGGTTCTCCTCAACCTCGATTTTCAGCTCCTCCTTGTTGAGTCCTGGCACATCTAACATTATAACATGACCCTCCGGCGTTTCTTTCCAGTCCACTTTTGCTGGTGAGAGTGCCAGCAGGCTCTCTTCTTTTCCAAGTTCAAATGGGAGCTGTTCTAGCACTCGGAACGGATCTGGAAAGTGCTCCGGCAAGAGATCGACCAGAGAACTAGTTCCTGGTCGATCCATGAACGGCAGCAAGGACCCATTGGATGACCTAAAAAGAAAAAGGAGAAGGCACAAGGTGATGACAATATTAAGAGAAGGTTGTTTCCTCATTGCTCTTATAGTTTATTTGTCAGCAGGAATACTGGAATATTGGATTGGTGGATCGATATGGCAGTGTCTGGTGTCTGGTGTCTTTGTCAGGGTGTGAAGGTTGATCTATGTATTTATAGGGCATGGACGTTGGAGATATGCATGGGATAGTTCTTGAAAATTCCAAAGTGACCTAACTTTTAATAGACCCGTTTAGAGAAATCAGGAAGGTTCCAGCTTCATCCTCCCCTTCTGTTTTCTTTTCTCCTTTTGCTTTATGCTTCAAGAGATTAACTGTTTGTTCCTATTTACACCCACTACCAAGCCCAATAGAAGATGCCAAATACTTTAAAATTGGCATATTTTATATTATTGTTGCTCGAATTATGGGGTATAAAAACTACGTTTACGTTTCAGAATGTAAATTTTAAATATAAAAGCAACATTTAAGTGTGAATTTTATGTGAAGCATCCTCATATCATCACTTAACTCAAATGGCAATTGACAACTTAAAAAAAAAAAAAGTTCTAGGTTCACTTCTCAACAATATACTACTCATAAGCTCAAATTTTTTGGGTCCTGGGCCGGACCAAGGCCTTACATATTTGACATAGAATCGGCCCAGTCCTTTAATTTATATAACCAAAAAATAAGTTGGTTAGTTATTCGGATTTAATTAAAAAAGAAAAAAAAGCCTGAAAAAAATAGTGTATTATAGCAAGGATCTGATTTTATTTTATTATTATTTTTTTTTGGAAACAAAGAAGTAATTTATTGAAGAGAGAAACTCCAAATACAATCTTTCGTTACAAAACCAAAGTGAAGAGCATCAAAAGCAAAGGAGGTAGCAAGGATCTGAATGAAACCAACCGTTCTAAAGTAATTTGAGAAGATATTTTCACAAATGTTGAGAACATGTAAAATGAATTGATTTCAATAAATATTTTTTGGGGGCTATTGTATCAAACCGAGTCCAGCTTTAGATGTTTGAGACAGAAGTGATCTAGCCCAGCATCAGCTTATGACTACCAGTCAAGTTTAAGTGTCATTTAAAATACAGAAAGAAATATTCGAAATTACTGGTACAACCAACTTAAATAAACTCATGTTAATAATTATTGTAATTAATTTGATCATTCACCTTCAGTTCGATATAAATTTTTTCGTATTTTGAAAGAAAAGGAAGAAATGATTAGTATTTCAGTTGAAATTCTCGGATACACTTATTCTAAATTTAAGACTTGTTTAAAAGTATTTTTAAAAATATTTTTGGAAGAAGTAATTTTGAAGCACTTGAAGTGCATTTATTAAAAAAAGAAAGAAAAGAAAAGGAGGACAAATGGTGGAAAGTCACGGTTATCAACTTCTTCCGGACCTAGAGAAGCTATGGGAAATTTCACCCCTCCCGTGGGTATAGTCAAGCAGACTCACCAGATCGGAGCATCAAACCCAAGACATCTCACATTTTTTTGTTTGTTAGGGAGCCATAGTTCGCACCTTTACCACTGGGCCACTTGATGTGGTTTTCAATTGTTTTTATGATTCACTTATATTTTTACTAAAGATTGATTTTAATAGCACTTTCAGTGTTTTCAATTAATTTAAAAACACTTCTAACGACAAATTTTCTTACAAGTTTTCCATTGTATGTAATGAAGTTTTTAACTTAAAAATCAAATTATGGCAACCGAGATGATTGATTAAATTTTGTTTATTTTACTACATATACCTAAAAATGCGCATTTAAACGGTTGTAAACAAAAACACATTATTTAGCTCGGTGAATTTCAAATAACACAACTGGTAAATTTCAACAACACATTCTGAAAGGTTGTGATTTTTTCTGTTTAGGGTCTTTTTGAAGGCCTTGAACTCAAAAATCCCTTTTTCCGAAAAACCAGAAAATTGTAAATACAAAGAAACAAAATAAAAAAAGCAAAATTCAAGCGGAGGGAAACGCCCCCAATTGCCACAACCTCCACCTCCTCCACTGACACTGTGCGCGCCATAGCTAATTTAGGGTTAGGGGTTTTGATTCAGCCTCAACTTCTTAGATACCCAGAATGCGGCCCAATTGCTGCCATGTATCCCTAGCTTTCGTCCTCAAACTCCTCAACTTTCTTCAAGCTTTCATCGGAGTTTCGATCTTAGTCTACTCGGCATGGATGCTCAACCAGTGGAACCACCACATTCCGATAGTCCCGCCACCGCCTTCAGCTCCTTCTCCTGATTCCTCGTCCTTCTCCTCCCTCTTATTGAGCTCCGAGTCGGCTGCGGATGCCGATCAGATCACGCCGTTGGATTTTGCTGTCCATTTGGTTTCTGGGTTCGATGAGGGATTGGGGTTCGGATTGAACTCGTTGAAGCTTCCCGCGCCCTGGTAATTTCAAAGTTTCTAAATTTAACTGAGTTTCAACTGGTTCATGTAATCATATTTGATTGTTGTTCGAATTTCGAGGCTTTTTGAGTTGGGTATTGAAGCAATTTGAATTCAGGGTTTTGATTTTGATACGTTAATTTGGAGTTGTGGATTTTGGTGGGCTCTGGGAATGGTGTATTGAATTTTTTGATACATTAAATGCTTAGAAATCATTAAGTTTCCGAAGGGACCCATTTGGTTGTTCATTTGATGATATGGTTTCTTGCTGGCAGGTTCATCTACTCTTTTATGGGACTGGGGATTTTGCTCTGTTGCGTTACTTTCATAGGTTGTATTGCAGCCGCAGCAATTAATGGCTGCTGCCTTTGCTTTGTATCCTTAACCAGTTAACCCATAAATCTTTCACTAATTTTAGCTAAGAAATTGTTTTGCTAGTATCCCGGTACTGGTTTGCTATGATTTCTGAAACTTAGATCAATGTTTCGAGACCCATGACATGGCAAGTTCATAAATTGTGAGTTCTCTGTTTGGTTGGTTATTAGAAGTATTAAGCCAACAAAAGAGAGAAACTTCTAAAGTAGTAGTGTTCATTTGACGAGCCCCTAGGAAACAAAAGGCTTCGGTGATCTTATTCCCACATTTTCGTTTAGTGGGAAGGTTTTGTATTTTTGAAGCCAGATGACTACTTCCCACTGCTTGTATTAAGCTCAAGACAAAGTGTTAGTGGATTAGAGTATTTATGTTGCATAATAAGAAGCTTTACCACTAGCTCCAAACTTAATAGTTTTGAGGTATTGTCCTTTGTATGTCATGCAAGTTGTGTTGAATGAACCCGATTTTCGATGTGCCTTTTCTGCATTTGGTGATATGTATTCTACCTTTTTCTTAACTGTTCAAACAATTCAGTATACAATACTTGTAACCATGCTCACTCTACTAGAAGCAGCTTTGGTGGCATTCATTTTAATTGATCGCCGTTGGGAAAAGGTAACATTTTATGATGACAAATAAATTTCAGTAATATGTGTGCATGGGTTTTATCCTTAATCTTTATCCTATCAGAATAATATGGTTTCTCATACCTCTACAGGATCTTCCATTTGACCCAACTGGTCAACTTGACAGTTTCCGATCTTTTGTTGAAGAGAATATTGACATCTGTAGGTGGGTTGGGCTCGGGGTCATTGTAATACAGGTATGCTAAGTCCAATGTAGTGATGACGTTTATCGTTATGTTTATAGTTTCATAGGACTAAGATCAATAGAACTATCCCATTTACATGATTTGTAATTCAAATTTTGGACCTTTAGAGGAAAGCTCATTGGATGGCTAAGATTGATTAAGATTAACGCCTTAGACCAAATTGCATTACTGATTGTATTTATTGTATTTGGGTTGGAGATACTTTGGAGTTATATTTCACTAGTGAAGATTACTATTGCATTGAATTGTTTTCTTATACTCATCTTTTTTGAAATGTCAGGTTTTATCTCTGCTACTATCAATAACTCTGAGAGGCATGCTTTCTACTCACAAACCTGACTATGATGTTGAAGATGATTATGATGCTAGGGCTAGAACTCGGGAGCCCCTTTTAAAACAACAATTAAACCAAGCATCTGGATCAACCAAGGGTGATGGGAAAGGGACTCACTCTGACATTTGGAGCTCACGGATAAGAGATAAGGTATTTTGTTTGAAGAGTAGCCATAATGTATGCTTTGATATCAAATCTTGATCCGTGATATCTTGTCAATATGAGTATCTTTTATTCTCTAATCACATCGTTCGTATGCTTTGCACAGTATGGATTGAGCTCTCTGAATCAGAATGCGTCACCAAGTATGCAATCCAAGCAGTAAAGATGGTAATGGGTTTTTCATCTCACTGATCTGAAACATCGATCAGCAGGTTTTATGTTGATACTCAAGTATATATCATTGTTCCCTTGTTTCAGTTTTTCGAAATTTTGTTTTGGAGGAAGTTATGGTGTTTATATCTAACTCTCGCAAAGTGTTCTTGCTGGTTTTCACTTGTATGAATTGGATGTGTGTTTCTGGTGAATATGTTGTGTCATTGATTGTAAAAGAAGAAAACTTGTGATTTACATGTAACATTGTGAGTCTGTGACTGTCATCATTCCTGAGTAATTCTGAGGGGTCTGTACTGGTATTATGCATGCCGTTGTATGTGATAAGATTCTCTCCTCTGTCCCCATTGATGAACTTTGCCCATTTAATCAAAATTCCATTATGCTCTGGGGTATCCTGTATGACGAGGTTTTTGACTAAGGATTTAACTGTCAAAAACCCCTGGTGCATAAGATACCCTGGAGCATACGAGAAACCCACCCTTTCGATTTCATATATCCCGTGAGTCTATGGAAGTGTGGATTCTTTCTTTCAGCTGTCAAGAAGTCGATTCTTTCTTTCAGCTGTCAAGAAGTCCATGAAGCTAATAATTATTATTTGATGCCTTCCATGGAAATGGAATCACATAGAAATGGCAGGCTCACGAGATTTGTTTTGCCTGTCCTTTGCTTTAAACTAACCATACTACTTGGCCACCATTCTGTGGCTTAGTGTGGTACAAGGGTACATTTGTTTATTCTTTTTCTGACGTCTACACTATGAATTATTTTTCATTCCGCACTAAAGAAAAAGAATTGTTATTAGCACTATAAAATAGTCAATTTCATTCTTTATTTTTAAAGAAAACTAATGAAAAGAGTTCGAAAACTTTAAGTTTTAATGATAAGGACAA